ATTAACCCTTGTGGTTCTTAGTATGACTGCAAGATGCCCTCCAGCAATAACCATCAAGAAACTTTGAAAAAAAATAGAGGTTTATCATTTAAAGAACCTGGAAATTGCACAGCAGAGTTGGGGCCATACAGTGAGGTCATCAGTAGAGAGTGCATGGGCCTGGTTCTGCTTTTATTGGGGTCAAGGGTGGGGGCCTAGGGTTTTGTGGGCTCATTCTTTATTGGTTAATTTAAAACATAAGAGGAGAGATTTAAAGTGTGGGAAGAGAAGAAACATGTGGCTCAAAACGTCGGCGATTGAAATCAATCAAGACCTCTAAAACAAAGGAGACTCAGTTGGGGCAGGCAGTCTGTCTCTTACCTAGTTGTGTGGTTGATAATGTGTTTATTCGAGGTAGCCATCATTGAAGTGGATGCCTCTTTAAAGTGGATGCCTTGGCAATCAGATCTTAAGTCAGGCACTTTCATTGCAAAAAAGAAAGAAAACAATTGTCAGGGCTTATGCAAGAATGCCCACTCTTGCCACTTTTATTCAACATATTATTAGAACTCCTAGCCACAATAATTAGGCAATAAAAAGAAATAAAAGGCATCCAAATTGGTAAGGAGGGGGTAAAACTGTCACCATTTGCAGATGACATGATATTATATATAGAAAAAAAGAAAAACCTATTAGAACTAATAATTGAATTCAGTAAAATTGCAGGATATAAAATTAACATGCAGAAATCAGTTGCTTTTCTATACAGTAATTATCAGAAAGAGAAATTAAGAGAATAATTCCATTTATAATTGCATCAAAATAATAAAATATCTAGGAATAAATTTAATCAAGGAGGTGAAAGTCCTGTACTCTGAAAACTGTAAGACATTAATGAAAGATATTTCAGATGACACCAGCAAATGGAAAGATATGCAATGCTTATGGATTGGAAGAATTAATATTGTTAAATTAATATTGTTCAAATGTCCATACCCAAAGCAATCTATGCAGATTCAGTGCAATCTCCATCACAATACCAATGACATTTTTCACAGAACTAGAGCAAAGAATCCTAAAATTTGTGTGGAATCACAGAAGACCCCAATTAGCCAAAACAGTCTTGAGAAAGAACAAAGCAGGAGGTATCATACTTCCTGATTTCAAGCTATACTGCAAAGCTATAGTAATTAAAACTATATGGTACTGGGGCACCTGGGTGGTTCACTTGGTTGGGTGACTGCCTTCGGCTCAGGTCATGATCCTGGAGTCCTGGGATCGAGTCCCGCATCGGGCTCCCTGCTCAGCAGTGAGTCTGCTTCTCCCTCGGACCCTCCCCCCTCTCATGCTCTCTCTCTCTCTCTCTATCTCTTTCTCTCTCTAAAATAAATAAATAAAATCTTAAAAAAAAAACTATATGGTACTGACATGGAGACAGACACATAGATTAATGGAAGAGAATAGAGTCCAGAAATAAACCCACACATATATGGTCAGCTAATCTATTCCAAAGGAGGCAAGAATATAAAATGGGGAAGAGACAGACTCTTCAATAAATGATGCTGGGAAAACTGGACAGCTACATGCTAGAGTGAAACTAGACCACTATCTTACACCGTATATAAAAATAAATTCAAAATGGATTAAAGACTTGAATGTAAGGCCTAAAATCATAAAACTCTTAGAAGAAAACATAGGCAATAAGCTCTTTGACATCAGTCTTAGCAATATTTTTCCATTCAGTCTCCTCCAGCAAGGGCAACAAAAGCTTAAATAAACAAATGGGATTGCATCACAATAGAAAGCTTTTCACAGCAAAAGAGACCAGCAGCAAAATGAAAAGGCAACCTACTGCATGAGAGAAAATATTTGCAAATCTTATATCTGCTAGGGGATTAATATCAAAATATATAACTTTTACATAAATTACTAGCAAAAAGACAACCTGATTGAAAAATGGGCAGAGGACATGAATAAACATTTTTCTAAGGAAGACATACAGATGGTCAATAGCACATGAAAAGATGCTCAACATTGCTGATTGTCAGGGAAATGCAAATCAAAACCACATTGAGATATCAGCTCACACCTGTCAGACTGGCTATTATCAAAAAGATGAAAAAAATAACAAGTGTTGTTGAGGATATGGAGAAAAAGGAACTCTTCTACTCTCTTGGTGGGAATGTAAATTGGTGCAACCACTATGGGAAACAGTATGGAGGTTCTTCAATTTAATCCTTTTGCATGTAGGTGTCCAATTTTCCCAACACCACTTATTGAAGCGTCTGTTTTTTCCCCCTTTTAAATTCTTGCCTCCTTTGTCATAGATTAGTTGACCATATAAGCATGGGTTTATTTCTGAACTTTCTACCCTGTTCAGTTGATCTATATGGCTAATTTTATGCCAGTATCATACTATTTTGATTATTATAGCTTTGTAGTATATCTTGACATCTGGGATTGTGAAACTTCCAGTTTTGTTTATCTTTCTCAAGATTGCTTTGGCTTTTTGAGGTCTTTTGTGGTCCCACACAAATTTTGAATAATTTGTTCTAGTTCTGAGAAAAAGTACTATTGGTATTTTGATAGGGATTGCACTGAATCTAGATTGCCATGGGTAGAATGGACATTTTAACAATATTAATCCTGGGACGCCTGGGTGGCTTAGTTAAGTGTCCAACTCTTGATTTTGGCTCAGGTCATGATCTCAGGTTTGTGAGATCGAGCCTTGTGTCAGGCTCTGCACTGGGTGTGGAGCCTGCTTAAGATTCTCTCACTCTCCCTCTCTAAAACAAATAAACAAACAGTATTAATTCTTCCAATCCATGGGCATGGAGTATCTATTTGTGTTGTCTTCAGTTTCTTTCATCAGTGTCTTACAGTTTTCAGTGTAGAGATCTTTAACTTCCTTGGTTAAATTTATTCCTAGGTATTTTATTCTTCTTTGTGAAATTGTAAATGGGATTGTTTTCTTAATTTCTCTTTCTTCTATTTCATTATTAGCCTGAACAAATGCAACAGATTTCTTTCTTTTCTGGGAGGGGGAGAGAGAGTGTGGAGGGTTGTGGGGGGAGAGGCAAAGGGAGAGGGAGAGAGAGAATCTTAAGCAGGCTCCACGCCCAGCACAGTGCCTGATGTGGGGCTCGATCTCACGACCCTGAGATCATGACCTGAGCCAAATCAAGAGTCAGATGCTTAACCAACTGAGCCACCCAGACACCCCACAGCAGATTTCTTTATATTAATTTTGTATCCTGCACCTTCTTTTGGAATGATGAAACTGTTCTAAAATGTATTGTGTGGATGGTTGCACAACTCTGTGAATATAAAAAACCACTGAATTTTACACTTTACAGGAGTGAATTTTGTTTATAAAATTCATAATTACCATCATTAAATACATACCAGGTGCTCACTCCCAGTCACTGTCCTGTGAGGCACTGTGGCACATGGATGAGAAAGAGAATACTTGTTCTTTGTGCTCTGGGAATGTCTCAATGGGTGTTCTTAAATGGAAAGATGAAATAAATCCACAAATAGTTTAATCAAGATGTTGCAATACTCAGTGCTAATCTCTGGGCATGACCACACTCAGAAAGATCTCAACACCTCTGGGTGCCAGCTTTAGGAATTCAGAAAGATTTTGAAATGTGGACTGCTCCAATATTTATATAACTTAGACATAGTATTATTTATGGCTTACAGTACTGTGAGGTACCTGGGGGCAGGAGCTATGCCTTGTGTTCATTTTGATTCCCTTGCTTAGCGTTGTGTCTGGTCTACTGGCTGGTGATTGAATTTCGCAGTGTCCTGGTTTGTTCCTAGGACAAACATGCCTTCAAACTTATGGCTGCCTATTCTGACCAGCCTGAGGGTTGGCCCTGTGGTGAAGGTGTTGCAGAATTTACCAACTGTCCTCATGCAACTGTTTCTTTTCTCATAACCGGTAACTATTTTGTTTCTTTGGTGTTTTCACTCTGATTTTGGTTCAAATGGTGACTTGGAATAATATGTGGGTACTTCTGGAGTGTTGTGCTTTCTTTCCTGGTAGTATACTGAAGACTTTGGGTTCCTGGGTCAGTGAGATTTAGGAAAACAAAAGGTGGAATTAACCTCACTTTCTTCTTTTTTTTTTTCTTTTGATCATATTTATCAAACAGCAGTGCTATAGATTTTGTGTAGCTTATGGGTCTTTGCTGTAATAAGAAATTGTTTTTCTTTTTTCTTTTTTTTTCTCTGTGAAGGTACTTTATGTTGATTCTTTCTGTTAAATATCCTTTGCTTGCACTGGACTTTTCTTTGTGTTGATTTTTTGCTTCATTTTTTTTTTCCATTTCCCATGCTGTTCAGTTACTGGATGCCAGAAGAACCAAGGTTTGTCCACTCTTTGCGGCTTGTTTGTTTTGCTCTGCACAGCCTCACCTCCTTGTGTTTGTGTCTGTCCCTGTCTGCATTTGTTCCCTTTTGCTTGCAGATGCAGTAATCCTGTTTACTAAACCTGTTCACAGCTTTATTTGTAAAAAATAAAGTCTTCGTTTGTGTCTACTTGTAGTGGATGCTATTATTTTCATTTTTTTAAATGGAAATGCATTTATCATGGAAAATAATGGATAGTAGAATAAAGAACACCTTAGGAAACAAGGAATACTGAGTCTGGAGCATTGCAGGCATAAAGAAGGTGTGTTTGTGAGATTTTCCCTTCTAACCCTTTCCACTTCCTCAATTGAAACTCTGTAGATGTATAATTTCCCTCGTGACTGACACTAATATATTGTTTCTGTGTATGTGTACATTTCTCTTCTCCTAAGACATTCAGAAAGCATCATTGAATTAATTCCCCCCTCTCCATGTGCTGTCCCATGCTTCTGAAGTCACCCTGGAGGACTTCACGGCTGGCCCTCTGGACCTACCTCATGATTAACATCCCATCTTCATAGTGTGGTAGTAGCAAATAGCGCTTGGCATCTCCATTGACTTTTTCCCCTTCTTTCTCCTCTCTTGCTCCATCTTTCTCATCACAGCACCTGCAGTTGACAATCCAAGCCCTTCAGGATGAGCTTCGGACCCAGAGAGACCTCAATCACCTCCTGCAGCAAGAGAGTGGCAACCGTGGAGCTGAGCACTTCACCATTGAGCTGACTGAGGAGAACTTCCGGCGGCTCCAAGCTGAGCATGACAGACAAGCTAAGGAGCTGTTCCTTTTAAGGAAGACCTTAGAGGAAATGGAGCTGAGAATTGAAACACAGAAACAGACCCTCAACGCCCGAGACGAGTCGATTAAAAAGCTTCTTGAGATGTTGCAAAGTAAAGGTTTGCCTTCTAAAAGTCTCGAGGATGACAATGAACGGACACGGCGGATGGCAGAGGCTGAGTCTCAAGTCAGCCACTTAGAAGTGATTTTAGACCAGAAAGAGAAGGAAAACATACATCTTAGAGAGGTAAGGACATTCACTCTATTTCCCCAAAGCCGTATTTTACAAGTTAAAATATGTTACCAAGTTATTTTCACAGGTTGGAAGATTGCAGCCTTAACAAAATTTCCTGGCATCCGTTTTATAATCTTCCTGTCTGCTTATCACCTTTAAGCTGGAATTTTGCATTAGTTTTTTTTTCTCTGCTCACTACACATGTGTTCCATCGTTACTCGACATGTATTGGGGATCCAAGTATGTGCAGCACCTGCCAGCTCTAAGGTGGTTTACAATTGCTTTCCCACACATGGCCATAGTTTCAGGGTTTTTTAAGTACAATACTAAGTTTTAGATGTTTATCAAATACATCTCTCTAAAGGAGCAAAACAAATAGGTGATTAGCAAAACAATGAATCTAGATATTTTTATGGCTGAATTGGGGCAGCATTTGCAGAAAATAAAGCATATGGATATTTCTGGGAAGAATGGTAAAATGTGCAGACAAATTTTGAACATTCAGGTTTAAGATAATCCTTGTCTGCATTTTCTTTGTCTAGGACAAACTGTCCCAGGTTTTCTGAGTATGCATTTTGCACTTAGTGGATTAAATCATTTGAAGTCCTTCAGAGGCTCTCCAGCCTGCCACCACTATTGAATATTGGGGTGCTCAGATATCTGAGGATATGTGGTTGGATAGAGTTTAGAAAAAATGTGGGTGACAGCCAAGCTTTGAAATTTTTACAGCAGTTCCTTGCTGCTATGGTGGATGTGGATCTCAAAAGTACCATGTAGGCAAAATGCTGAGGGAGACACAGATCTCACAGAAAATAAGAAGCAATAAAATGGCATTAAATATATTTTAAAAATATTCTATCGCAATAAATAAAAATTCCAAAAGATATTTGCTGTCAGACCAAATTAGATTTCTTGGCATTATATACCTTTTCGGATGGGTAGTTCTTGTGAGTCATTTTTTGGGTTGTTCAGAAAACATGGCTCCCATGTTGGGGCTTGCTAATGCAGATGCTCCCAGGAGCATCTTAGAACATTTGAATAGACTTTTGTATCTTTAGACTTAATGTCCTTCATGCTTATTCTCCCTTGATTTATTTTCATGAGACATTGACAACATGCTTGGGAAACCACGTGGCTTGGTTTTAGATGGAGATGCTTAAAGAGATGTTTTGTTGGGACTGGGTCTTCTGATCCATATTCCAAGAGGCTGAATGTCATGGTTAGGCTTCTAATGATTTGTACTTGTTTGAAATCATACCCTTGTCTAAATCCATGTCCTTGAGTACAGACTGAACCTAGTGACTTGATTCTAAACAATAGAATATGCTGAAGGTAATGGGATGCCAATGTGACTTCCATGATTAGGTTATATAAGACTGTTATTTCCATTTTGTAAGCAGACTATTGTGTTCTCAACTTGCCTGCTTTGATGAAGCAAGCTGCCATGTGAGAGAGGCCCATGTGGCAAGCGACTGAGGGTAGCCTCTAGTCAACACCCAGTGAGGAGCTGAGACCCCCACTCAAACAGCCACAAAGAACTGAAAATTGCCAACAACCACTTAGTGCGCTTGGAAGTGGATCCTTTCCCAGTGCAACCTTCAGATAAGATGACAGGCCCTGGGCTGACACCTTGGTTGCAGCTTTGTGAGAGACTGTGAAGCAAAGGACCCAGCTAAGCTGTGCCTGGATTCCTGACCCACAGAAACTGTGAGATAATAAATGTGTGCTGTTTTAAGCTGCTGAATTTAGGGGTAATTGGTTACGTAGCAATAAATAACCAATAGAGTGGAGCATAAACTAATCTCTTCCTGCCTTACTCCCTAGATTTTACATTTAGTTTACAGAAGAGAAGAAATAACTACTGGCAGTAATCACTTGCTGTAAAGCAGCTGTGGATTTTGAAATTTTGGTTGTGTTATCTTAGAACTGTGGCTGGAGATTGCCATAGTTGAAAAAAGTTGCTGCTTTATTTTGGGTGCCAAGGGATCAAGTTGCATGTACAGCCGGGCAGTGATGCCAGAAAAACCTCCATCTGCAGCGTTGACCCTGACTTCATGTTGGGGTCTTGTGGTCGGGGCAGAGTCACTCTTTTTCTGTTATTAGATTCTGCTCATTGGTAGCACTAAGTAGATGGTGCCTTAATCCTGTTGTGTGGATGCCTCCACTTAAATGAATCTAAACAAAATTCAATTTGTGTTTTACAAGATTAGTTTGCCCTCACAGTGGTCTGGCATGGAAATAGATCATGTTCAGAGCCTTAACCATCAGTCTGAGAGCCCACAGAGAGTGGTACAGAAAATTCAACCCAACACATCCAGCTAGTTTCCTTGAGCATCAGGTGAAATCAGTGGATTGCCTTTTTCTTGGCTTATCAAGAAGGTGCATGTGGAAAAGGTGTCTCTATATAAAAATCTCATTTTAAACTTAACTCAACAAAAAGACTTGGAGGCCTGAAAGGACATTCCCCAAGAGAAGGATTGTAGTGGGTTCTGAGAGCCATTTGTTACATTTTCAGGAATTTTGTGAACCTGCTTTTAAACTATTGATAACTTGGAATTAGTCATGGTGGGAATATTTACACCACGGAAATCAGCAAATGCTACCCCCAGGGCCTACAGCCCTGCCACCCCATCCCTAAAGCCCATTTACCAACACATCTCTGAATAAATGCCATGAAATGTTTACCCACAATACAGCAAGAAAAGGCAAGTTAGGGCGCCTGGGTGACTCAGATGGTTAAGCGTCTGCCTTCGGCTCAGGTCATGATCCCAGGGTCCTGGGATCGAGTCCCGCATCGGGCTCCCTGCTCCTTGGGAGCCTGCTTCTCCCTCTGCTTCTCTCTCTCTCTCTCTCTCCCTCTGTCTCTCATGAATAAATAAATAAAATCTTTAAAAAAAAAAAGAAAAGGCAAGTTAAATAGTGCAAGAATTATGAGTGCCTTAACCACTCATCATTCCTTAGAAGTTTTCATAACAGCATCTGTATAGATGCTTATGTTTCAAACACTTCAAAGAATGCTCTCATTGATTCATATTTAACTCTCACAACTACCTCGTGCATTCAGTTATCCATCCATTCAATGAGCACTTACTGAGGATCTGTTTTGGGATAAAGCAATCATAACTAATAAAGTTTGACTTCATCGTGCTTATATTCTGTGGGGATGAAACATAATTTAATAGTTAAACAGAGAAGTATCATGAAGAAAAGAAGACGATGAAGAACTAGTGACTTGGGTGGGGCCAACTTGATATTGGGTAATCAGGGAAGGCCTCTTGGAGGGGGTGATATTGTGAACTGAGACCTGAATGACAAGAAGGAACCAGCCATGTGAAGCTCTCAGAAGACTGTTCCAGTCATGTGGAAAGACCCATGCCTGGGAGGTAGGTGCTATTATTTGGCCCATTTTACCTGGGGGAACTGAGGTACATGTGACACTAAGAAACTTGCTCAGCTTCCCAGTGGTGAAGCTGGTATTCGAATTGGGCTGACTCCAGAGTTTCAGCCATTAAACCATTTCACGAAATCCCTTTTCTAGAGGAAACTTTCCCAAAATGTGCTCTTCAGAACAGCCATTCTGTGGGATGCTGATAATGTGCTATGAGAGAAAAAGGGCTGCAGGGCCAAATGAACTTGGGAAAATGCTGGATTCTGTAGAGTTTACTGTAGGACTGCTCAGACTTCTTAATATGCAAGTGTGCATCAGTCATTCCCAGGAAGGGGAAGGTTCTTAAGCTTATTTAACTTGCTTTTGTCCTGCCGCACTGGTGTTCTTTGTAAAACACTTTGGAAAAAAGCTATGCTAGAAAATAAAGAGTGTGCTTTTAAATTGTGACCTGCAAAATATGTAAAAATATACAAATAGTTGTTTCCCATGGCCAAGTAGCTGGGTAATTTCCTCCATTAGTTATTCTAGAAGGCAAAGTTTATTTTTTTTTATTTTTTTATTTTTTTAATAATTTTTTTATTGTTATGTTAACCACCATACATTACATCATTAGTTTTTGATGCAGTGTTCCATGATTCATTGTTTGT